GGGGGCGGGGTGGAAGAGAAGAGAGAGAGAGATTTCTGTCACCATAAAATTATAGAAATTCCTCAAACAGAAATTAAAGAGCCTCGTTTAGGGTAACTGGGAAGAGAGAAATTCCCTGCCACAAGGAGAGGTTGTTGAGAAGGTAACAAATGTTATTGTGCTGGGTTTTCTAAAATCCCAAACTGATCAGGAATGAAGGAGATTTGGCATGTCTTGTTCTGCCAATTTCCAAAGGAAAAATCTATTGTATATACAGAGCTCTATCCTGACCTCCCCAAATTATTAACTTTCCATCTTAAGTGAGACACCCCAAAGAGAATAACTATCCCCCCTATGCCCCCAGAAAATGCCTGATATAAATGTAAGAAAACTCTTTAATGAAATACATCCGCACATCCCACTGGTCTACTTAAGTAAGTAGTCAACATTTCAGAAATGAAGGAAGTTACAGGAAAACCACAAATTCAGTGATACCAAATATTCTGGAAAAACCTCCTAATAGAAAAACAAACTGATTTCAGTTTGGCAAAAACTTCTGGACATCAGCATTTCTCATTATCCTTATTTTGTAATTTACCCAGACTTTTTGATAGAATAGTAGGACGTAGCAAATAAAATAGATAAGTAACCCCAAGCCAACATTTCATTTTATAAACATCATTCCTTTACCTTCACAGAAACCCATTAAAATAACCATTGTTCTGACTTGATAAGGTAGGAAAGTCTCAGAGGTTAGGTGACTAAGAGGTGGCAGAACTGGGATTTCAACTTGGACTCTCCTCTGACTCAAAAGCCTGTGTTTCCTCCTCTACATTTTGCCAGTGTGTGGATAAGGCCTCACAATTCCTGAATTTCTCTACATCAAATACTCCCTCATCTGATGCTGTAGTATGGCAGAGACACCCAAAGACAATAGTGTGTTGGTTCAGAGTAGACTTAATCACTGGCCATGGAACTGAAAAACGTCTACAACGCAGGCCATGGGAATTCCAGGAGATTCTAAGCCAGTGGGATGAGTTTCAAGGACCGCCTCCCCCGGTCACATCTCTTTCCTGTGCTGGGCATGACCCAACACCCATTGGCCAAGAAATAATTACATCTCCTGATATAGTCCTGCTATTCAGACTGATGCCAGTCCTTCTCTCGTTGCATTTAATCATAAAACCAAGGAGGTCTGTTTCACCTTCAGCTCTTCTCCTGGCCTAAAAGGCCCACATGCTTGCTTACTTAAGTGTGAAAGCTCAGCATTCATGGCATTGACCTCCTCCAGAGTAGCCCTATGATTCGGAGTGCTGGGGCTTAGGTCAAGAAGGTCACAGGATGGGGCAGAGGGTTCCGTGGCAGCCTGAAAACAAAGCAAACACAAACATAATTTGGAAAAACTTTGGCAGGTCGTTTATCACTTAGGCTTTCTCCCTGGAAGCTTTCCTTTGGAGAAAAGAAGATCCTATTTGGATGCATCTTGAGGGAGAATTCTCCATTTAAGAGACAACATGAGTACCAATCACATCTCACCCTCTACACGGGTTCCTGCTTAATTAGAGCATCTTTTAATGACCTCTTATTAATAACTTGATAACATCGAGTTATTGAGGCAAGTACTCTAACCACCAAAACCACCCCAATCATTAAGGAATGAGTCTCCTCTTTTTTAAGAGTTATTTTAACATAAGCCTTGCTCCATACTATACAATTTGTAAACTATTCAATTGTGTAGTTTATAACATTTCTATTCACTTACATTGGTGTCTTCTCTCTGATTATTTTGCTCCAAAATCCTTTGTTGGTTTCGAGTAAACCTGTTTGAATTAGCAACATGGAAATATTGAAAAGAAAATGGATAAGAAAATGCTACAATATGGGAAGGGAAGAAGGGGGAATATCTTATGTGGAGAAAATGGGAATATGCAAATTCAGATTATTAATATGTAAATATTTAGGAACAAAGACAATGAGCTTCATCACTACTCAATTCCCAGTAAAGTACTTTAATCACTTTTTTCAGTTTATAGAGGTAATGAATGATGTCTTTTGAGAAAACAGCAAGAATATGGAAAAGTATTAAAAATAATAAAATTCCATCCCCTAGAAATGGTCCCTAATCATTTCTATCACCTAGAAACTGTCCTTAACATTACGATGTATTTCCTCCCTATATTTTTCTGGAGGCTAATCTATTTCAAACTTAATTGAAATTATACTTTACATATTTCTCTCTTCTAATTCAATTACTTTGCATGCATTTTTCTAGTTATTCAGAAGTTTAATTTTTAGTGGCTGCATATTTTACCTTATGAACGTATCACATATTTAACTTTTCTTATTATTCCCAAATACTTAAGTGTTTCCAATTTTGCCATTATAATTTTCCATTGAGGATTTTAATACATTTATCATATTTTCACTATCTTCATTTTTATAAGACATTTGATACCTACTAACAATATTGAGCTTTTATAACATTTTAAAATTTTATACTGCTCATACACTGGGGGTAAGGGAGGAATAGTTAAATAAATAAACAAACAAAGTAATGGTTTTGAAAAAAGAGTAAGTGTTGAAGGTAGAAGCACAAGGTTCAAGTACCAGCATTATTATCAAGTAGCCATATAACCATGGATATGTCTTCCTGATCCTTATTTCAACCACTTCACCAGAAAGTTTTTCTCAGGGGCAAGAGGTCAGTAGATAATACAGGTGGATGAATGTGGAAATGCTTTGCAAGCTAAGAGTGGCTTTGGAAACATGGAATTAATTCTATGACACGTCAACTCTGTGAACCTAAACACTTTAAAGTTGAAAAGCTTCCAGTTCATTGAACCATGCACTTGGTTTTAAGGATTTTTCCCTTTCTAAAACACGTGATTTTTCTCCCGACGACTTCTGCCATTGGCTTCTTATAGGCTAGTGTGTGCTGAGTATGAACACCCTTCACGGGTCCAGCCTTGAGCAACAAAGTTCCATTTCCTTATTTGCACAACTATTTTTATACATTCACATAAAAAATGTCCTCATTGGCAGCTCTGGCTTTTCACAGACTATTTTCTCCACATAAGATATTCCCCCTCTTCCCTTCCCTTCCTATATTCTCCTCCATCTCAAACTCAAGGTCAACTTCACATTCCCTGAGACTTTGTTTATAGCACTCATCTATTCGAGAGCCCAGCACTGCTCATTCTCGCAGGCCATATCACAGGCTCCCAGAAGGCCAGGACCAAGATCCCTATCTTGGAAGGAAGGCGGCCTTGTTCTGAACCCGTTCTTGATCTTCCTGAGTGTTCACCTTGTAGGCCCTCTAATACGAATGCTGAGTAACTGGTGGTGAAACCGGACTTGGAGGAGGGCTGAAGAGACTGCACCGTCTGCTCACCTCTCATAGCCAAGGATGGCATTATTCAGATCCTCGTTCACTTGGATGAGCTCAATAGTTACGTCTTCATTCTCCACCACCACGAGCAGGTCCATGATTCGCTCCTGCATCTCCCGACCCGTCTTGTAAAGTTTCTGTCAAAGAGAGGAGAGAGCTTTCTTCTTCCATGCTTAGGAATGTTCTATAAAGACCACTGATTCACCAATCCGTATACCCCTGTGACCAACTCCCTCCACCTCGAGCCACTGATGGGAGATTACCAAATATTTAATTATGGATAGCTCATCCTTCCTGTGAGAACACAGTGAGTTATAAGTGATTATGTTTTCCTCTAAAAATCAAAACAGGTGTCATGAGGACAAATTGGTGCACTGCATGGAACACAGGACTTGAAATTAGAAGCAGAATATGGGACTTCTAGATGGACTGCTTGTTAGCTGTACTGTGGGGACATCACTTGTTTGTTTGTTTTTAAAAATATATTTCTTTATTGATTTCAGAGAGGAAGAAAGAAGGAAAGAGAGATAGAAACATCAATGATGAGAGAGAATCATTGATCGGCTGCCTCCTGCACACCCCCTACTGGGGATCGAGCCCACAACCCAGGCATGTGCCCTTGGCCAGAATCGAACCTGGGACTCTTTAGTCCGCAGGCTGACACTCTATCCACTGAGCCAAGCCGGCCAGGGCATCACTTGTTTTTTAAATCTCGATTTTCTCATTTGATAAATGAAAACTATACTACTTGCCACGTCTGTTTCAAGAGCTGACATTTAAATAAAATGAGGAGGATGAGGGAGGTAGGGGAGAATAAAAGGGAGATAAATGGTGATGGATGGAGACTCAACTTGAGGAGATAAACACACTATACAGTGCACAGATGATGTGTTGTAGAATTGTGCACTTGAAACCTGTATAATTTTGTTAGCCAGAGTCACCTCAATAAATTCAATAAAAAGGAAAGAAATAAAATAAAATGAGATGTGCATGGTGAGGAATTCTGTAGCCACAAAGCACAACATACAACAGAAAATATGTCATTCTTAGAGATAGTTGATAGAAAGTAGTTCAACATTTACAGCAATGTGATTTTCCCATTATTGTTTTACTTAAATAAACATTTAAAACTTACAGCTACAGCAACACATTCCAAGATAAACGGAACCAGGATTTTAAAAGGAGTGCTGGATAATATCTTTATTCGAATGACCTAGAATCCCAGCAGTGAGCCAGGGCTCCACTCCCCAAACCAGCTGTTGCCCGTGAGCCTCAGAAGCATCTACAGCTGGGGCTGGGGGTCTGGGAATCTACTTTTATTTTATTTTTTTTAAAGAAGCATCAAAAGTGTTTCTTATACACACTGACATTTGCAAACTACTGCCTTACAACTGGCCTCCTCCTAGGCAAACCTCCAAGTAAGCTTGAGGAGTGTAACACTGACAGTAATATTTCTTCCAATCCACCTTGGCTGGAATTTGCCCACGTAATAGTCTACTAACATCACGCAAAAACACAGGAATGTTTCCCCTGTTCAAAATGAAAGCGGCGGGGCTTGCTAAGTCATCGCACTGTTACATTATCTGATATTTTTCCCCTCAAGAAAGACCTGCTGAAAAACTGACGCTTCACGAAACCATTTAGAGTCTCAAACAATCTATTACAAGGCTCTGACAGGAAACCTCTAAATAAATAAATCAAACCATTACCAGCTGCCATTTAGACTCCGAGGGAAAAGCCACTACTCTCCACAAAATCATAACAAAAATATGTGCAAGATAAAGGGAAGTGAAAAGAGGGGGTGAAAAGCGAGACTGACAGATCGATGCCAGATTCTGGGTTTTACACCTGCAATGTGCAGGCAGAAAACGGTCCTATTTGCTAAATAAAGGCTTGGGCACTCTCAGTTGTGCTAACCAACCCTTTTCTTACAGGTCCAGGTATTACAATATTTTCTGCTCTGTGGGCCCTCTGTTCTCTGTCAAAAGGACCCCGCTCTGCATTATACCCTGAAAGCACCCATAGACACAATGTAAAACAAGCCAGCTGAGTTGGGCTCACTTATGGCCACTGGTATGAGCGAGAAGAGTCTTTAGACTCAGTAGACCAAAGGCCTCCTACATACACAGACCTCACATGGAATTTAGTTACATTTTAGTTTCAGGTTTTTTTTGTGTTTTTTAAATCTATAAGACAAAGACAACCAACTATCTCATAGGGTTATCCCCCCCAAAGTCTGGCATACAGTGGAGAGTCAAGAAATGCATTATGGTTGCATAAGGAGGGATCACTAGAAGCTTAACTAGATAACTAGTACCCTCCTGTAATCTTCACACCAATACCAGGACCCAATGTTATGCAAAGGCAAGAACGCAGAACAGCATTTAGTACAATCCCCTGATGAATGAGGACTGTTCCTTTGTTCCTGTGTTTGGGAGTGCACAGAAGTTATTCTCCTTGCTCCCTAGCAGCCTTGCTAGAGCAATGTCAAGATCAAGGGACTCCAGTGGCTGTTAGAGGCCTGGGAACAAAAAAAAATGTAGAAATTAATCTGAAATGAATTTGCAACCAACATCAATAGCCCCCATCACGTGAAGATCCTCCCTTTGCCCTCTGGGCACAGACAGAAAGGAAACATGAAAGAAACACCACATCCCTCAGCAGGTTTGCAAAGCAGAGTTCGCCAGACCTCTTCAAAAGCCAGCCCACTCTGATCTTTGCCATTGATGTCTGTCTTTGAGGAGGGCCAAGCCGCCTGGAAACGGTGTAGACCAAGCACCAGGGACCAGAAGGACGGGGCAGACGTTCCCCACAGCAGGCACCTGCAGGACTGTGGATGTGGGAAGCCAGGGGGCGTGAGCCAAAAAACACAGAGTAACAGCTGCTGCTGCATATGTCCAGCACGGAGCCCCTGGGATTGCCCCCCCCTTTACACCATAACAAGAAGGCAAGGCTTCTAAGTTAAAGTGAACTGAACAATCAATTCCAAAGTCTTTGGAGCAAAACAAGGAGCTCATTAAAGGCTTCCTCTTCTGGCATCCAGAGGCCTGCTACTCCCCCAGAGCTCCCTCTGCACTTTCAACTCCGACTCTAATTGTCCCACATGCACCAACCTGGACAACTCAATACAAAAGGGAAAGAAAGGCGTCCGAACATCTCCCCTGAAAAAGTTAATACAGGAAGAAGCGTTTACTTGAAAGCCTTCTCTAGAAATAATATCTGCATGGCAAGACTCCTATTATCAGCCCATACCATACTTCCTCTCTCCTGGGCACCGCACCCAGGCTGCCAGAGACCCAGAGAACGTCTCTATCTGCTCAAAATAAAAACTATCCCCTACCCTAAAACCGCACATCTCTCAACCTAACTTGTTCCTGCAGTCTCTTCTGCCTTCTACAAGCCCAGCTGAGTGAATGACAAATTAATTGTCAAGATAATCCTCAAGAAGATCAGCTCATTAGAACCCTTCCAACTCTGTCCCAACTTCAAAAATTGTCAACATTTGGGTTACAGAAAACATTTGTTTTCATTAACTCCTTAGCTCACTCCACCCCAGGTCTTCACCTGTCTATTGTCTGTGTCCATGGGCTATACCAGTGGTCAGCAAACTCATCGGTCAACAGAGCCAAATATCAACAGTTCAACAATTGAAATTTCTTTTGAGAGCCGAATTTTTTAAACTTAAACTATATAGGAAGGTGCATTGTTATTAACTTAATTAGGGTACTCCTAAGGCTTAGGAAGAGCCACACTCAAGGGGCCAAAGAGCCACAGTTTGCCAACCACGGGGCTATACAATAGCCTATAAAATAAAAGGCTAATATGCAAATTGACTCCCAGTGGTGGTGGCAGGAGCCTTGCCCGACTCCCCGGCAGCACTAAGGATATCCAACTGACGGCTTAAGCCCACTGGCCTAAGTCGTCAGTCAGACATCCCCTGAGGGCTCCCGGACTGAGAGAGGGCACAGGCCGGGCTGAGGGATTTCCTGCACCAGGCTTCTAGTATGCTTATAAATTATTTGGTTATTCTCTTCCTGCCCCTTCCACTCTTAATACCTTACTTGTTTCTGAGTGGTAAAGTCAGTAAGAGTGATCAGGGGAGGATGACTTTTATTAAATTTTCCTCTCAGGATTTTTTCTCAACTGCTTACAAATTACTCTTACAGAATCAAATTCTACATTCACATGATTTGAAACATCTCTAATAAGCTAGAGTGAGGCTTTCTCTGGTCATACTTTGAAAATCTGAGCTCACTTTATTCTGCAGAAGATGAAAACATTCTGTTCTTTCATTCTCCTACTGGGGCTAGGCAAAAACAAGAAAGACTGAAATGGGAGGTAACAGGAAAAGTAAGCTATTCAAGGTCAGAGTAAGTTGGTCCAAAGCCAAGTGCACAAGGCCAAGAAAGCAAATGCAAGAACACATGCAGTAATGTTTCATTCTTGTGACCAGAACAGACGCTCTTTAACTCATCAGAATCTTTGTATTCCTCTCTGGGAAACTAAAAGCAATCCCAGCTCTTCCCCACCGCTACCCCCACCCCATAATGAAGTTCATAGTCTACAAGCAACACACTAGTAGTTTTGGGGAAAGATGTTTATTATGCAAAATAGTTTTACTGCCTAAGAGTCTAACAAAAGTAGGAGTCCCCTTAATTAGCAGAGCTTCAAGATTGAACTGTTCCCCATGGATTTGAGAACAGGAGATTCCCAGTGAGTACACTGGATCTGGGATGGAAAGAAACAAGATGGAATGGGTTCCAAATGAACAAAACAGCTGCTAGAAGGTAAGCACCGACAGACAAAACAGGAAGCAATTCCAAGTGTAGAGGTTGGGTGTAATGTTAACAAATTGCAGGAAGACAGACCTTCCTGATAACAAAATACCTAAAAAAGTTGGATATGATATAAAAATGTTTTAACATGCATGTCTGAACTTTCAAGAAAGTATGAGAAATCTTCAAAGGCTGGAAATACGATCCAAAGATATGAGAGCCAATAAAGGCATAAGGGCTCAAAAGGCACCCATCTCCAATAATCAAGGTCAATTTCTAATAAACTTGGGAAGCAGGAGACAAAGCCTGAACAAGAAGGGGAGCTGGATCAAAGACCCCACATGCAGTTTAGATACCTAAAC